CCCGCCCAGCCAAATAAGGACTGGGGAGACGCGCAGAGGGAGGGAGGCGGTGGCTGGCGGAGGGGGAGGGGACGGGAGCGAGCGGGAGAGCCGCGGAGAGAGCCGCCAGGACACACACACACACACACACACACACACACAGAGACCCAGAGAAAGAGATAACTAGACAGAGAAACGCATCTAACTACAGAGGGAGAGAGAAAAAGAGGCAGAGGGGGGTGTGACAGACAGGGAGATAAAATCAGAGGTAGACTCATAGGCCGAGAAAAGAAGAGGCAGGCAGGAAAATACGGAGCGAGAGAGGCAGAGAGCGGCAGACCATGACAGGGAGACCTGGGTAGCTGGAGATAAATGGATAACAGAGACAGAAAAGCAAGGAAGGGGAGAGGAAAGGCAGAGTGAGCCCCCACCCCGCCCTCCCTCCGCAGAAATCCCAGATGCTGGAGCTGGAAGGGACCTCGGGCCTCGCTGTTCTGCCCTTTGTGATGTGGCTGAGGAAACTGAGGCACGGAGAGGTCAAGGGACGTGCAAAGGCACACACACACAGAGTTAGTGTCAGCACTGGGACCCAGCCAGCTTTCCCTCCTCCAGGCCACAGCCCCTCCTCTGTGCCCGGCTTCCGGCTGTCTTAGAAACAGGAGGGCACAGCTGTGGACCTGGGCACACGTGGGCCAACACCCAAGGAAAATCCTGCTCTCATAAAATATGTCCCTACCCCGGTCAGCATGGCTCCCCTATTGGCTGTGAAGGCACAAACTGGTCGCCTCGGCCAGGAGCACCCAGTCCCAGAGGCTCTGCTCCCCCTGGGGGGGTGTGGGGGGGGTTGGGCTGTTTTGACATCATCTGTGGCCCCTGTCCTGCACCAGCAGCCAGGCTGGGCTTGGGCTGCCGCTGCCGGAGACAATGCTGGATATCCCCGCAGAAGTGAGATCTCCATGCAGCAGGGCTGGTGGGACCCAGATCTGGAGGAACCAGGAGTCTTCCCCATGCCTCAGTTTCTTCATTTGTCAACATGGTGGCAGTGGGTGGTGAGGAGGGACAGGCTGTGGGCCCTCAGGCCAGGCGTCACTGCCCCTCTCAGAGCCTGGCTTCCTTATCTCCTCGCTGAGGTGCCCTGGCAGATGATCCCACAGGCCTTGCTTAGCTCCAAACCACTCCAGACTTGGATGGGCTGAGTGAGCAGAATGACTGGAATGCAAATCCCACTGCCAAGGGGGGTGTCAAAAAGTCTTTCCTGGGACCCTGGCATGGGCCACGAGGTCAGACATGAAAGAGGCCCCAGGGGCCCTGACTGAGGATAGGCTCAGGAGGCAGCCAGCCAGAGCGGGAGCACCATCTGCCCACAGCCTGGGCTGGCCTGTCACTCTGGGCACTGCACTGCACTGCTTGTCCCAGGAGTGCCACCAACCCATTCTTTCCTTCAACCATTCCTGCAACAAGCATGTATCGAGCACCTGCTGTGTGTCTGCTGGGCATGTTATTACATTCATTATCTCGAGTCTTTTCCACAATCCTGAAAGGTAGGTGTGGTTATGTCCATTTTATAGATGGGGAAACTGAGGCTAAAAGCAGTGTGGAGAGTCACCCAAGACCACTCAGCTGGGAAGAGACTTCAGTCTGCCTCCTTGGCCCATGTTCTTTCCATCATGACTCCTTGAGCCTCAATGTTAAAAACTCTGTCAATAGGATAGATAATTATACTACCTCTGAACAGATTGTTGTGAGGGACCAAAGGAGATCACATATGTGCAATCAGACAATATGGGGCTCTATAACATCTCCTTTCCCCCTAGGACTCGGGGCTCTGACCAGAGCCTGATGGGAGGGCCCTGATTTGTGACACCTTACCTCTCCCCATCCTATCGGCACCCCTTTCCCCAGGATCTTTGATTCTTGGAAGACACAAACTTTCTGGCCCTGCCCCTTTGGCCATGAACCCAGCCTACTGCAGGCTTTTCCCCTCAGCATCTTCTGGCTTTCTGGAAAAAACCACGCTGCCTTCTTGGCTCCCAGGGGTAGGAATACAAGTTGGGTTCTAGACTCCTGGCCACTCCCCCCCAAAAGCAGTTCCCCCAAAGCTGATCTAGAAGAGCAGTGGTTTGCTAGACCTGGTTTTCCGTGTGAAAGGCTATGTGTTGAGGGGCTTGTTTCTGGCAGCCAGGCCAGACTGCTGTGCAGATGAAAGGCGATATTATGAGTCTAAGAGCTTTAAAAAAGGGAAAAAGCTGTCTTTAGGGGAGGGCATTTATTATTAATTCTGATGAAGCTTGCTCTCAGCACTTCAGAACTGGAAGGGCCTTTAGAGATTGTCTAGCTCAACCCTCTCATGTTACAGATGAGGAAACTGAGGCATGGAGTGTAAGAAGGGAATTTGCCAAGATCAACAGTGAGTGAGGGGGTGCAGGGCTCCTGCCCCATGGTGGGTTTTTTTTTTCTGTAGCACCCATATGTGTGGGATCAGGACATCTGCCAGTTCGGGGAACACAGCACAACCACGGTGGAGAGCAGCCTGGGTCTCCTCTTCCTGCCCCTCCTCCCTCCTTTCTCTTAAGGAGGTGGGACTGGTGGGGGGCTTCAAGCTGGTGCCCATCTAGGCTTCTATGTAGCCCCTGGGACCTTTAGGCAAGAGTCGCCTCAGCCTACCCTCCACCTGGGTGGGATTGTGCCAAAGGCCTCACAGTCTCGGGCACACCCTTTCCTCCAAGATTCCTGGGACTGCCTGCACCTGCCAGGCATGCCCCACCCTCTGCCCAGGGCCAGGTGTCAGAGAGCACCTCTGTCAATCTTGTCTGCTATACATGGGAAAGACGGCTCAGCTATGGCGTCTCCATGTTCTTCTGTTTTTCTTTTTCAATCCATTGGTGACTTTAGTGGAGGAAGCTTTGGGGCAATTAGAGATGTTTTTGCATCTCTCAGATCATGATACTGGTCAGCCTTCTGTGTGATGATTTTCCGGAATCCTGTGCAGTATAGAGAACGCAGGGTGAAGAGTCGGGTGGCTGAGGCTAGAGTGCTGTCTCTGCCATTCATTTGCTGTGGGACTTGGGGCCAGTCACTCCCTCTCCCTGGGCCTCAGTTTACACAGCCTTTTCTACCTAAAAAAGTCCCTTCCTGCGCTGACATTCTGTGATGCTAACGACAGGCCTGGCCCTGTGGCCCGCAATGCTCATTGTACAATGGTCAAGAATGCGGGCTGAAGGATGAGGGGCCCAGAGCCCTCTCTGTCCATTGCTTTTCAGCGCCTCTTTATTGGCCAGTTTGGCTGGAGGATGGGTGCAGGGAGCAGGGAGGTAGGGAGTGAAATAGTTGACCCTGAGTCAGATAGCTGACTTCAAATCCTGACTCTATCAATTACTAGCTGGACTGGAGCCCCACATGAAATTCTGCTCCATCCTGTTTAGACCAGACTCAACTGGGCAGGGAAAGGGCCCTGCTCATCTCTGTGCCCCACCACCCGTGGTACAGCCCCGGACACAGAAGGCACTCTATAAACACTCCTCCATCCGTTCCAGTAGGCCTGGCTGGGCTAGATGGGTTGGCAGGGCCTGGGGCCCATGACTTGCTGTAGGAAGGAGTGTTCAGAGCCATCTCAACATCAAGCCAGAGGCAGGCCTGAGACAGGAAGGAGCCCTGTAGGCCCAGGGGCTGCAGCAGAAAGGCAGGGAAGTGGCTGCTGCAGAGAGCTGCGCGGGGATCCTGCCTCTGATGGGGAGTGGATAGAATTCAGGGTGCTTAGCGTATGACTGAGGTGTTTCTTGGTGTATCTCTGTAGAGAGAGACGTGGAGGATTGGTCTGGATTTACAGAGCGTAACTGGTCCCAGTGCAGCCGGCTTGCGTTTGTCAAGAGACACTATTTGTTTAACATCTCAAGCCCAAACCAAACACAAAAGTCAGCTGTTCACAAAGGAGAGGCTCTGGGAGCTGGGGGGTGGGGG